CCACGCACGCACGCACGCACGCACGCACGCACGCACGCACGCACGCACGCACGCACCCACCCACCCACGCACGCACGCGCACGCACGCACGCACGCACGCACGCACACACACACACGCACGCATGCTAAGACTTACACCTTTCCGGATTCTCTGGTCTGCTTTCGGCGGCTATCGCTCCACATCTGAATAAAAAACGACGTCACAAGCCAATTGAAAGAGGCAACTACTTTTTAGACGTTCACGTGACTTCATGAGCACTACCAAGCAAGCCCGGCCAGGTCTTCAAGCCTGCCGACCGCGCGGAGGTGGAACAGTCCAGGCTTCGTGCCGCTAAAGAGAGTGCCAAGGGCTTTGCTCTGTCATGCATTGTCATGCAACACCAAGAGACACGTGCTGCACTGTTAATGCCCAGTCTTTGTGCTTAGTGTCTTGACAGCCTGCTAGTTCTGTGCGGCATGATTCAGAGGTGACATCGCAGCTTTACCATTCCACGCGCCATGCTTCAATTTGTCGTCGCAGTTCTTGCTTGCGGCCGGTGCCGGGAGATCTTCCAGCAGAACCCAGGAAGGCTGCCCAAGACTGGCTTTTCTGCCTTCGAGCTGCAAAGGCAAGCGCTTCGCCTTGAAATTCATGGCAAACTCTTTCACTTGCTTGAGGCTGCTCAGGTCTAGCTTCATGAAGTCGGCCTGACACGCCACCACGCATCCCCCGACTTTCGGGATATGTTTTCCATGCCATTGATTCCATGCGCTCTCTTCTCTGAAGCCTTGGCATCGGGCACCCTCCGAAGCAGCTCCTTCAAGGCCTCTTGGCCCTTGCCCTCACTTCGTCCTGCAAGAATGACCTGCAAAGGAGCTGCCAGAGCATTGTAGGGCCCTTTTCCCCACCAGGAAGCCTGCTAGCACAAGACTTGGCTCTGCCTGTGCCCCTTTCCTGGACATCTCGACTGCGGACTCAAAGCCAATCCCATTGACCTTTCTGGTATTTTGCTGCGTTTCGTCTCTGGCTCCGCACTGGTCATGACGTGACATGTGAATCAGCTTAGTTGCTGTGGGCCCGGTCACGATTGCCACTTTGCCCGATAAATCTGGAATGTCAGTCACATCCCATGTCGTAAAGAGGTCCCAGAACTTGCCATCAAAGGCAGCGCTCCTGTAAATCCGCAGCTAGGAAAAGGGCCGGTCAAGCAGTACTTTAATGCAAGTTCGACCGACCTGGTTGGCAAGGCCTTGTGCACGGATTAGGCCAGCCAAGAGTCAAGCCTATTGGGCCCAGCACCGCTATCACCGGGACCAAAACGGCACACAGCCGAAAGCATCCCATGGCTCCAAGGCCCGCGGATGAGCTCAAAATGCATAGGCCGTGACTGGATCCCAAAAACCGGTGGGAAGACACATCTTCTTTCCAAAGGTGCTTCATATTGCGCCGTTCCAGTTGGTTGCGAGGAAGCATTGAGCAAGTACGCAAATCTTTTCTTTGCCTTGCCGGCTGTCTCAAGATCTCTCACGGCGGTGACTCGATGTTTGTGAGCAGTGACCTGGGCCACTGGCAAGGCAGCGCACGCAAGAGCGCAAGGCCGCAAGTGCGCCACAAGTGCAAACGTCCAGCCTCATGAACTTGGCGCGAGTTCTGTAGCTGTGAAAGTCTGGACGGGCATGAAGGGACCTGAGAGTGCGCGAGTGGGAGCTCAGAGAAACACAGGATGCTCGCATCGTCGCATCTCAAGGAGTTCGCTCCCATCGTGGCTTCTTGGGATCGCTTGCTCGAATTGGCCTTGTGAGGAGTTCTGCCACCCGCGATGTCTACAGCTGGAAACTTCGCTGAGGTTCCAACTTGAAGTCCCCAATGCCGCCCCACAGCGCTAGCAGGGATCCAACAACGACTTCTACGAAAACCTCACCGCAAGAATTGCAGCTCCAGGCCGACATGAACGATAAAGACACGCAGGCAGTATTCGCACACGAAGTTTTCATCACTCGCCCAAACTTTGCCCAGCACAGGTGCAATATGCTGCATCCTACCACTTGCCAACCTTACACCTCTGCGAAACCTGCCGAGATTGAGTGTCCGGTGGAAAGTCCGCAGTTTATCCTTCACGATGCTCCATACCGCTTCCAGGGTCTCACTCGATGCTTGTTACTCTTGCCACTGCCCTGTGCTTGAAGAAGCAAAACCTGCCCCTGTGCAGGGGGGCGCTCTTCAACATGCTTTGCTGGATCAGCATGTCTGCAAACAGTGTCCTTAAATCGCCTTGCGTCGATACGCCGATACGCCGCTCGAGGGCGCACGGACGGGAAATACTCCCGATACACCGGTCGCGGGCGCGCGGAAGGGAAACACGCCGATACGCCTACACGCCGCACTCGCACTGACGGGTGCAAGGACCGGTGTATCGATGTATCGGGGCATTCTGACGCCGTTAGAGGTCCGCAGTGGGCGTGCGGCAGGGAGTTACGCCGATGCACGCCATTCCGGAAGGGAAGTACACCGATATGTCGATCCACAAGCGAAATACGCGGATACGCCACATTCGCGCTGACGGGCCAACTACCGGTGCATCGGTGTATCGGTGCGGAGCTGTTTTGGGGACGCTGTTTGCGGGCCCTCTGGAAAAGTGGTCGGTCAGCCAGAACACAAAGTCTATAAACTACTTACGCACGTAACTACTTACGCACGTTTCCCAAACACAGTCATGGTGCACAGTCAGCAGAGATCTCACTTGGATGCACGCACGGGTGCACGACACGTGCATGGAACGTGCTCTGCTCGGCCGACCGGGGAACGAGCAGCACAAAACACCGATGCCTCTTGCTGCCGTGACTTCGTCTCTGGTGCCTTCATCCCTTCCTCCTCTGCCTCCTCTGGCAGGTCACCCTTTTCAGTTTCGAGCTTCAGAATCTGGGGTGTGGTGGCCTTTCCGGGGTCGGCGGAAGCTGCGTCAGCCCTTGCTGGGCAAGGGCCACGTTGACCGCAAGCCGTTCGCGATGAACCACCAACGTACATTCCTTCGCAGCAATGGTGGGGAGGACTGATCCAGATGACTGGTTGAACAACTCCATGTGGCGAGGCATGTTCTTGTGTAGTGGAAGCTCTACCAAAGTGAAGCGCTGCGTACAAAACAATGAAGCGCTGCGTGCCTGGAAAGTGACTCCTGTCACATCTTCATGGAATCCTTCGGCCTCTTCCATGGCTGCATGTTTTTCTGCCTGCATTGTGTCACTGTCCGTGCACGTGGTCGCTGAAGCGAGACAGCTAACTCAGCTTCCAGCCGTAATCATATTGCCAGCATGGATCACGATGGCGGTGCCGACCTGCCACAGTGCAAAACTGTTTTTGTTCAGAAAACTAACCTATAGAAAAACTGTCTACTGGTTGGTGCTTGCAACAGCTGTCCCCCTTCTGCGGCCCCTGCCACGACCATCCAAAGTTTGACCGCCATGACACCGTGCGTGTTAGACACGCATGCTTGGGCCACTCAAGCTTAGGCAGAAGTACATTCGGTGGCGAGCTTACGCCGGAGTGCCAGAGAGAGAGAAAGCCGGCGTCCAGAATATGCACGAGTGCTAGGGCAAGGCCTCCTTGCAGCAACAGCTTTGATCCAGGTTGATGTTCGTCATTGGACACGCTTGCTATCAAGACCCTGTGTGAAACTCACCCGGATTGAAACAGAAGTCTATCGGGTCAGCGATGGAAGTGCAGCAACTAAGCCGAAATCGGCATCTCATCTACGGAACAGCCGCTTCCCCCCCGGTCTCTAGAAACACTCAAGTGTCCACAGTGCACATTATCGCAGATGTTCAGAGTGCTCGCCGGAACCTTTCTAATCAGTTCGACCCGCGCATCAGACTTCGCCATGATACCAATGGAGGTTTTGGCAGAAGTTTACAGAAGATCTACCCTTGGCATAGATATTATCATGACGTCTGTTGCGCGTGCCCTGCGTGAGACTGGCTGCAGAGTACACAATGCACAGCGCCAAAGAATGGGAGCAAAACGGGCACGTGTACCGTCTGCATAACATATGCTGAACTACTTGCAGGCGCTACGTGTATTGAGGCTGATGGTCGCGACCGGCATGGCTTGCTGCATGCCTTCGCGGCTTCGCGACTGAATGCATCCGGGAAGCAGGGCTCCACATGACCACATGGTGCCTGCATCGAGGCAACAGTGTTTTAGCAAGCCAAGCATGCTACCCACATGCCGGGGTAAGCAAATCTGTAAAGGCATCAGCAAGAAGTGAAGCCAAGGTACCGCACGTGCTAGAAAGCGTGAAGGGTCCTGCGGATGTTAGTTGGTCTTCGAGTTTGGCAGACAAGACTTCGATGGGCAGCATGGAAGCGAGCGACTGAAGCCGGCAATTTCATAAGCTCTTAACTTTTCGTCGCCAGGATTGGGTTGCAAACCTTGATCGTGTGCCGGTGAAGCTCTCGCTGCTTCCCTTGCATGGATATCATCCCAACAAACATCATCTGGCCGCTGAATCTCTGCAGTTTCGCGATGAAGGAACTGCAAGGCCTGAACTTACATCAAAATCCCTGTGCATTGGCTATATTTGATAGCTGCATATACCCTTCAGTCACGTCGACATGGCACTACCCTCTCTCCCTGTCGGAACGGTTGCTGGCACAAGCACCGCTACCTCTCGTGGCTTTCGCCCAGCTGCAAACGAGCGCATGCGTCAAATCTTCAATTCACAGCCTCTGTATCGCCAAGCTCGGACAGGATCGGGAATAGTTCGTCTGCGACTCGCGCATGATATGCCTCTAGCATGCAGTATAGGTCCCTGACTGCTTCACTGAAAATGAACCCTTCCCCGAGCTCTGGTCTCACTGACACTGTCATGGCGGGCAAAGCACGTTGAGGTAGGAGAGTTCTGCGTTTGAGAGCAAAGATGCATCGACGAGGTTTCTCCTCAGCTGAAAACGGTGCGAAATGCAACCAACGTGTCCATCCACCTCCTACCATTCCTGCCTCATCAGATTTTCTTCGAGGTCTTTTGAGCGACAGAGCTTTGAATTCTATAATTACATCAGATTCTGCTGTGTGCATGTAAACATCGTGCATGTTAAGCACATTCTCTGGCGCTCGTATGAGCTGTGACGTTTTTACGGTCTTTCGAGAGCTCACTTTAATCAGTGCCTCGCCACGTCCAGAGGCCTTCGCATCAGAGGAACACTGTCTTGGATGTGAAGAGGCGGCACCGACATACTCCAACATACCGTGCGCCAATGGAGTCCTCCTATACTATATACGACAGGCCCAAAAACTCGCAGCAGTTGTAGTTGTGCTGGTAGTGGCGGCACTCTTGGAAACACTTGTGCCAGTGCTGCTAGTGATTTTGGAAATTGTCGCGACTGGTGAGTGTAGTAGTAGTAGTAGTCGTCGTCGTCGTCGTCGTAGTAGTTTCAATCACGCAGCAGCAAACAGCCCAGAGCACACATGAGGAAAGAAAGACTGGCGAAAACCTTGCTTTCTGCCACGGGCTTCTGAATCGGGACCAAGGTGATCGGGCACAGGCCCAGATAGCTTCTGCCGTCTTTGCCCACAGCCTCGCAGCAGGAACATGTGAAGGAGTGAGAGAAGTTTCAGTACATTTGCGCTTGGCTTGACCCGGCCTTTTGAACCACAAGCATAAGATTTTCGATTCGGATCCCAAGGCATCCCTCGAGATACAGCCCGGGCTCATTGCTGACCTGACTCAAATCGCACAAGCCTTTTGCACTGTGCGTCCCCCATCGTCCCCCTGCCCGCATAGTATGCCCGCATGACAGCCAATACCAAGCGGCAATCATTCCAGCCTCACACCCACTTCCAGGCTACCATGCAAGAGCACAGCGTGAGAACATCAGCTTTCCTGCCCTGCACAAACTGCAGCTGTCAAGTGAAGTCGCCTGCCTTCAATGGGTCACGGTTTTCCTGAGAGACACTGTGTTATGGGCACTCGCAGAGTCTCCGAAAGGCAGCACCTGCTTCTGTTGCTGCCTTGTTTTTGTGTCTTCCGCTGCCGTGTTGGATATCAGGAAGGGGCGAGGACGGCTGCTTTGTTGTTTCGCCTTGGTGCTGGCCTGTCCAGCGGCGCGTGTGAAGTGGTCCCGGCAAGCCGTTGAGGCATTCTGACTTGCAGGGTCCTTATACTCCCCACAAGCAACTGTTGACTTCCACAGGGTAGTGCCTTGCGGCATGCTAGTGGGGAAGGTTAACTTGCAGGTTCCGATCTTGCGGCCAGCTAGTGGAGAAGTTTAATTTGCAGGTTTCTGTTTCCGGAAAGCTGTTGCGAAATCCACTTTGCTGGTCGGGGGGGGGTGCATTTACTTGCTTGCTGTTGGGCGGGTGCCTTTCTCTTGGCTCTCGTTGCGGACTCACTTGCTTGCCTGCTGCGATCCCTCTTCCTACACTCCACAGCCAAGAGCATCATCACAGCAAAAAGCACGGGTTCCGGACTCCAAAAAAGGGATGCTTGTGCAAAACCAGCTTCAAAGCGTTGGCCAATGTATGGCGGAATCTCATGCACGGCAAGCGCCGCTCCCACCCCGTGCCCGGTGCCATGGCGGTAATCGACTGCCACCTGCAGACCGCAGCGAAGTGCCGATGCTGTCGAGAACAAGAATTTAAGTTTCAGGTTCTCGAACACAAGGCGAGCGAAGCTGACACAAAACGAGCCTCCCACAAAGGGCGACGGGCCTTGGCAGCTGGATCGCTGGCATGCTAACACGAGTGCAGCTTCTGATCGATCCAGGCCAGTCGCATATGCATCCAGTACGAAGCACGGAACGTCAGCAGGGAATGTTGCCGTTGCAAGGCCTTGCAGCTGACCGACACCCAGAACAAGAGTCCTGCGAAGTCCGAGTTGCAGGAGCACACCGACAGCATACCAAGATCTGCTTTCTGGTGTCAATATGGAGTGCATGCTTGCAGTATTGTAAGTGCGTGACCAATGTGTGCTTTGAGAACGCGGGTGAACAACTCACCTGAAGCCGCCCATGCACGAGCGAATTGCTTCGAATGCGCTCTACAACAGTTGGCCACACATACTCTTCGTTAACATTGCAGGAGCGAATTCTGGACCGAAATGCGAGCAGCTTGCGCTCTCGGCTGGTCGGCATGCCAAATTTCAAAGTTCCTCAGCCCATACCAGATGTAACGTGCTGGAGGCTGCAGCATCCATCTCTGAGCCTAGGTTCGAGTCACATCCGTCGTGCCGTCGTGGTACTGTGCACCAGAGTCCAGCAGTAGCATGGAGTCGGTACCTGAGTTACTCTTCTGAGTTGCAGACCCCGAACTGAAAAGGAGGCAGGCCTGAGCTTTCGGCCGACAGTTGCTGCAGACTCTGCCTCCATCAAGCCAATCCGCTCCACGTTTCAATCATGTTCGTACCCGGCCTGCGCTACATAATGGATAATTGCAGCATTGGGCCCATAGCCGGCAATGGTATCGAAGGATCGCTCCAGGTAGCCTCCACAAGCCGAAAGCGAGAAGAACGGGAGGCGGGCGAGGCGGGCGAGGCGGCTGAGGCCCGCACCAAGCGCTGCAGCACGCGAAGCGGTCACAACTCTGTCAACATCAATCTCCGTCCTCGGCTACTAGCGCTCGCTCTATCCACAGCAGGGCAAATGTGCAACAAAAACGATCCCCCGCCCGCTGATGCTTTGTTCAGGCAAGCGGCACAACTTCCCCACGCTTCAGCATAGCTTCAAGTTGCGCAAAGGCACGGCACAATGCAGCGCCGTCACGACGATGGGCCTCCACCATGCCCTTAATCTCCGCTTGATTCTTGCATGCCTCACCAAGGCATTAGAGCAGAGCTGGAAAGCTGTGGACTTTCGCCAAGGTGCTACCTCATGCTAAGTCTCGCGCCTGCATTTCTGCAACAGGCGATCTCTTTGTCACCTGGTTGCCCGGTTCGGTCTAAAGCCTTACTGTGAGCCTGGAGGATTGCCAGATCGTGCTGGGCCAGGCTGCTGCTGGTCCTTCCTGTCCACTGGCCAGGAACAGCGAATAGTTGGAGCCTGCGCAGCTCGACGTGTGCTGCAATCTGACATACATTTACATGTCTGACCCGCTTTCATTGCAATGCAGCCGAGAGTCGCTTGGTGTCCATCCAAACCTCATCTTGGGGACGGCTTCGACGTGCAATACCGAAGCATCCCCTCTGACAAAACGTGCCGAAAAGGTCTTGGGCACCAATTGACGACTTACAGCAAAGCTTCTCTTAAAAAGCAGAGCTAAAAGCTGTTCAGAGGTTCTACCAGATCGGCCAGAAGTCGCGCTGCCCAGATTGCACTCGTTTTCTAACAGCTTGGCCAAACGATGCATAGGGATTCACTTCGACTTGCAAGTCTTCCAAATACTTTCGAACCTCAGAGACGAAACGAAAGAAGCAGCGGCCTAACCTAACCTACACAGTCTGAAGAGCACCGCTGCCTCTCTTGTCACCTTGCCGTCATCAACGAAGATAGAAGCCCCCTCCATGTCAACAAGGGCAAAGGCCAAAACAACCTTGGAATGAAGTGTGGTTCTGATGCTGCCAGTACCGTTCTCTGCTTATGCCGCTTATGCCCTATGCCACTAGGCAGCCGGAGTGTGGCGAACATCGCCTCCTCGAATATTGAACAAATACCTGAGCTGGAGCACAACATGGGGCGATAAATTCAAGATCCGGAATGAGTCTAACTTAGCCCTAGGCCCAAAACGGAAGTGGAAATGGCGACCGGCTTGCAAACCCAGCAGCGCTACTTCATCTAATGCCGTCACGAGAACGACATCTGCCCCCTGTTCGGCCATCTTTTGCCTGACACCTTTCAGTTTCTCCGATGCAGAGGCACCCGCTACAGCCTGAGGATGCAGTCTTACTGGGCTGCTGGGCCAACTTCTGCCGCTTTTCCAAATCTGATCCACGAGGTTCGGCTCGATGCACCGCAGATCTATGCCGGCTTTCCGAAGCTTACTCTGCAGCTCCAGAGTCGGGAGAGCAGCGTGCACGGATGGATCAATCCCCACCAGATCTCCTTGTCGCAGATTCTGAGAAAGCCAGTCGCCCAAGTCAGGAGTACCCTCTATCCCAGATTTCATCAGCTTCCATGAGCTGCCGAGCTCCATTTTCGCCTGTATGAAATATCTCCCGTCTGTCCAAAGCATGGCTTCCGTTGGCGTCACGAGCGCAGTTCCCGCAGAGCCTGAGAAGCCTGTCAGAAATCTTCTTCTTGCAAAGCAGTCAGGCGGAACTTCCGACATGTGCGCATCATCCGTCGGGATGATGTAAGCTTGCAGATTTGATTGAATCAATGTCTCCCGGAATTGCGACAGGCGATTCTCGAGCTCGTCCCTGCACGAGCTACTAGTACCACACGCGGCCGATGCCGAGCAGATGCGACTCTTTGCTTGCTGGCTGCTCCTACGGATCCTGTGCGCTGACGAGATCGCTTGAACACAGAAACACGCCGGGATGCAGGACCCTGCTGATCCTCTGGTTTTGGAGGTGCTGTGTCCAAGGATCACGTGTACCTGTTGAGCTCGGGCCACGCCGTCACGAAGAAGAGCAACTGGTCGTCCAAGTCTTCCGTGCATCTGAGCATCTGCCAGGTAAGGCAGTCGACCATTATCGAGCATCACTCGCGCATAATACTTTCAAGTGCATCAGATGCAAAGATGCTACAGTCTGCACTGAACCAACAAGTTCTTGAGCCAGCTGAAACAGCAGAGCTGCAACATCCGGACCTCTGCGCATTCAGAACAAAGACCCTAGCAAGGCCGTCTGCAAGCTGCAGCGTCCTCCTGTTTGTGGCATCAGCCCATCAAGGGAGGTGGCGCATGCATCTTCTGACTTTCCTGGCGCGGGTGCATAGCGGCTTGATGCCCTAGCAGAGTGAGCTTTGTCGGTAGAAAGCATGACGGATCACAATGCCTGCATTCTTGCACGTCGCTCTAGCTGGCGCTGCTCTTTAAGTGCCTCAAAAGATTGCTTCGGCAGACCCCGATTTGGAGAAGAAAACATCTGAGACTTGCACCATGCGAGTTCTTCTTGCATCTAGCTCGGCCTGTCTCTTGACCTGCGCAGGTGCAGCTTCCTAAAGGTGCCCGAAATCCCCCTCTGCAGATATGCGCACGCTTCGGTGGCGCGCCGTCTCATGCTTTACCAGCTCCACGCACCCCAGGATGACGCACTTCATGCCTGAGTAAAGATAGAGGTCTGAATGCGCGATCCATATGTCAAGGCATGGAGTCTGGACGTGATCGCAGTTTCTGGGCATCCCGCTCTCCAGGATCCCAAAATTAAGCAAACAACCGCAGAACGTGGCCGCATATGTTGCCCAGATCTGCCACAAAGGAGCCAGCAGCGACACACAAGCACATGTTTAAAGAGTCGTACGCTTGTGCAGATTGCAGCCAAGGATGGCGCATGTCTGTTTGACATGTACACTCCGTACAAGGCAATGATCGCGACGCTGTGAACGAAAATCCAGAACCTCGGTACAGAAGAACAGGGCTGAAAAAGAAGTGGCAAGGTCGAAAAGCACGAGCATCAGACACAAACACGTAGACAATCCAAACACTGACCTGGCCACAAATCATCACAAATCCGCATGAATTTGTGCTCAAGCTTTGCAAGCTATCCAAAGGTCGAAGGCCTTCACCACCACCTCCGGTACTGGCCTTGGGCCTTGCTCAGGTGGCACGTACTCCCTTGCCACGTTCGGCAAGGCCTTAGCCGACGAGTTCCGAGCGAAAGCATGCATTTGGCAGTCGTAGAATATGAGTCAGAAAGTGAGCATCAAAGAGTCATGCTTGTGTCTTCTGAGGTGTTTGGGAAAACCTGATCCTCCACATCTCGCCAACTCTGTCTTTATATGTTTTTCTCCTGCTCACCGGCAGGCAGATCTTGCTGGATGTTATTGGCTCCTTTTCGACCTACAATTTGACAGTCTCCAACAGCTCGCATCTGCAAAGTCGCACATGAACTGCAGCGACAACGATGTGACATGTCGGGGGCCACGTTGCCGAGGCCGTTGCAGCAAATGCCAGACTTTCGTTCGCAGGCGGCGCCTGCGTCAGTCGCATTTATCCATGCCGAACTCCTACTGTACTTTTGAGGGACGGTATGCCGCGAATCAGAGGTGGCCTTCGGTGGCAACGGCTCGAGAGCAGAAGCCTTCCAAAACAGAGGCTCACAGATTTCCGAAAGCTGAAACATCCTCACCTTGGGCGACTTGCCCCTTGCATCGGCAATCGACTGCAATGCCTGTGTAAGTGAAGGATTTTCTACAGGCGCCAGCGAACTGTGCGCAGAGCTGCGGTGCCTGCGACGGCGCCCGGTAGACAAAGGAAGGCAGCGGCTCAGATGGAGGGTGCACCTACAAGGCAACATGCCAGGCCCCCTTCTGCCGGATGGCAAAACTGCGATGGCAAAGGATCCGGCCAAAGGTGCAGGAGGCTTTGCTTTCGAGACCACTGCCTGTCCGAATCATCCGATTTGTGGCGCTGCAGAGCCATATCCCTCAGCCTGCAAGTCGACGTTGCCACTGGCAAAATCCTTCCGGTGTTCTGTAAGCATATCATCGAAGCCACACATGGGGGCAATGTCGGTCCTGCGGCCTTCCCTTTGCCAAAACAATCGCGTGTGCCGGCGGCGGGCCTCCAAGCCCAGACAAGACCGCAGATTTGCAGAACAGCGCTGCTGCATGCACTGGGGGCGGGCAGGTGTCGTGGCCTGCCGGCGGAGTTGGCAACCTGGTGCCGAGTGCCAGACATGACTTCTCAAGCTTTTTCGTGACGGTGACCCCGTCTGCTGTTGCTTCAACTTCATAGGCGGTAAACGTTGCACTCAGGAGTTGGCAACGTGGCTTTGCCCGGCATGTTTGGAGGCGGTTGTGGTGCTCGCCTTTCCAAACGAGCAGTCGAAGTTTCTCAGCAATAAACTGCGCGAAATTGAAAGCTTCCGGCGAGCTGGTCGAAACTTGCCCCGGGCGAACTATGTTCAGTTTCCTCACCTAGGGGAGCCCAGACAAGGATTCATGATTCAGGCTGCAGATGCTACACTGTGTCTCTGATTGAGCATGGCAGCGCTCTCAGAACAGCGCTGCTATTAAGGGCTCATCACTCTCTGGCGGAATAGGTGCCATGTCAGCCCTCAGAGCAGCATGGGATTGAACAGCCGCATGAAGCAGCCGGAAGCATTCAGGACGATGCCCATGACGCTTTGGCCCAGTGGGCGGCGGAACTAAAGGTGGAGGTGGCGGAGGAACCGACGAACCTTCCACGGGCTTGCGGACGACAGATGGCTTCAGAGCCTGTTCTGGACTGAGCTCTCCACTGCTGGAATGCTTCTGCACCTGCGGCACCTGAGTCTCCGGGATCTGCAGCAATGTCTGTGTCGCATTTCGTCTGATAACATCTTGCCGACCGCGGTTTGACGTAAGCGAGCGTGCGCGGAGTGAAGTCGTGCTCCTTTCCATGACCCCGTCTGTTCCAGCCTCCTTCTTCAGCCCACCACACAATTCTACAATGCACGAGATCAGATTTCATTGGTCCCATCTGCCACGGCGGTTGTGCTGTAGCTCTAGCCGAAAATCCAGTTTCCACGTCAGATTCAAAGACTTCACGCCCCTCAGTGCACTCCCCTGCGTTTTCTCGCTCGACTGACAAGTCCTGCAGCAAACGCCGTCCAAATTCGTTTATATAATCATATAATCTGTGGATCAGTGTGGAGTCTCTGGGTCCCTGCCCAACTTCTCCACACGCGGATCCGGGGTAGAGTTCCGAACCTTTCCACAAACATGACCCTAAAGCCAGGGGCAGGATAATCCCCACACAGGGAGGCTTCCTGAGGTCTGTGAAGTGCTCGAACTCATCCCAAAGCATCCCTTGAACGCCAGAGCAGCTGCAGCTTCGATAAGGTTTTTTGGAAGCCAGCATCCCGGTCTCAACTCCTCGCAGCTTGCCACATCTTGTTCATCAAGCTTTCATCCAAACACTGCCGGGCACCCGGATGAAATCCTAGAGGGCCTAGACTGAGTGAAATGATTGGGAAGCTCTGGCTTCACATGCTTTTCGGAACAAGCTTTTGCCACGCTCCCACCGGGCCAGGCACTCTCAAAAGGACGGAGGAAGGTACGTCCAGCGGGGCTTGCTTTGGCACATCCAGCCTGTGCAGGTTCATTGAAACAAAGAGCCGTTCGCCTCATTGGAAGCAGAAGGTTGCCTCAAGCTTCCGGCAAAACGAAGCGGAGAGGTGTCTGAAGCCTGGGAAGGCGAATCTTCAATCACGGCGGCCGAGGCAATCTGAACATAATCACGAAACCATTGCAACCATTGTTCGAGGCAATGGCTGGTGGCAAGTTTATGGATTGTGACAAGCTCATCGGCCTTCATTGGAAGCGAAATCGGGAGAGAAGCTTGCCCTGTCCTGTTGGAAGGTCGCTATCTTGTTTGAGGCTGCCACATTGGGAACCTTGGCACAGACAAGGCCTGAGATCGGGTCAGAGTCATGTTCTCATGTCGTTGCTGTCTGCTCTGGCAGGTCGCGAGTCTGTAACATGCTGCCAGAAACTTCCAAGCACCAGGCATTAGAATGCGATGGGGGGGCCTTCATGGTGCCGGGGAGAGACAGCCTTGCTGCCATGATGGCTTGCAAATAAAAGCTCATTACTGCTGATTGCTGCGTGCTGTTGAGAAGGTCAGAATACAGTCTGAGAACATGGGCTGAAAACATGTAACAAGTCCAGTCCTGAGTTTCTAGCGGCATCTGGGCTTGTGCTTTTGGCATCGGTGACGGTGTGTGCGGCCTGACATGGAAACAACATACCTTCAGCATGCGGACGAGACGTGGCTCTGGGTCGCTGGCAGATCCACCTCACCGGTCGTGGACGAAGACCTTGGAGCTGGCGCAGTGCACTCTTCGTCGTTTGCTTCACGCAGCATCTCCCTCTTATACGAAAACCTACACACCCCACAGTACCTTCCCTAGACGGTGAAGCCTCCACAGCATCGCAGCATTGGCCACTGCAGTTCAATTTCCTTCTAAGCAAAATGCGCGATCACAGGTCGGCGCCGGCGGCTTGGGCTGGGGGAGGAGGATGCCTCACAGGCATGCATTTGCAAGGCACAACTCGGAAGATTCGGCAAGCAAACGGCCTCCCTCTGAGTCTCATGTGGTGCCTCATGTCGTAGCTGTCGTGCCCACATATGCCCACCGCTCTTTTCCGAGCTACTGAGGAGAAGCACAGCGAATGCAAACTATCGGGCGAAGTGTTATTGCGTCACACGGCTGCCAGGAATGCGTTTGTACTCGCTTTGGTTCGGTTTTCGATTTGGCCACCCGCTGGTGTCAAAGGGATGTTTGTGGAGACGGCACCAGTACGGGGTGGAGGGAGGGGTGGGGGAGGGGGCTAATGCGGGGATGTCCGGCTGGCTGGCGCTGACTTTATGTGCGCTGCTCATCTTGCGGCGGACAAGCGGGCTCCTCCGACTACAGTCTTTTCCCGAACAGTACTAGAACTGTACTCTCACAGTCGCTCAATACTAAACGATCCTATTTTTAAGCCTCAAGGCAGTCACCAACTTTTCGCGTGTCATAAGAGTATGAAGGATTTTCCTAGAAGCTTCAAGGCCTTGCCTTCTGTACAACGCTACCGGGCTCTAAGCAACGCAAACCTGCAACATGAGTCTGGCCCCCCAAAGAAGTGTGAAACGCCCCTCCTGCTGTGGCCAGAGCACGATTTTGCAGCTTCTCTTTTTCAAGCTACCCCTTGCCAAAAGCACTCTCCGCAAAAAAGCCTCCCAAAACGCAAAATGCTCATAGTGCAAAACACAGCCGCGCCGTGGCGAGAGAACGATTTTCAAGCAAGAAAGATCTTGAAACTTTGAATTTTCAAGACCCCCCGACCAAACAACTCTCAAAACTCGACAAAACGCCTCGTAAATATGCATTTTCACGAAAAGTTTGCGTGAGCTTCTTGTGTTTTCGGGACCTCTTAACCTGCATCACCCATACAAAACGCGCGTTTCGCTCGAGTTTCGGCCACTCGGACGTCTTGCACTGACAAAAATATGTCTCCAAACGCACGGCCCCGTACAGGCGCCGTCATCATGTTTGTGTCTAGGGGCCTTACCTCCCCGCATGCACGACCGTGTAAGGCAAGCGCCGGCATGGTGTGTTCAGGATCCAGCACCTGCAAAAACAAAGGTGTGACTCCTGATGCGATGCTTTCACTCAGCTTTAACTGGAAGTTGCTTTACCTCTCTGGGGTCCCGTCCAAGCTTGCTGATCTATCAGGCACTTCAACCTCATCAAAGCAGCACTCCACGACGCTCAACAACAGCTCGCCTTTATCTGTTGACACTGAAACTCGAAAAGTGCTCAGGAGACTGCATCTTCAGGAGGTGCAGGCTCAACGACCTGCTGTTGCCAGGACCCAACTCCACAATGTGGAATTGAAGCTCGTTTGCATGCGCAGCACTCGGCGCCTCGGGCAACTCCCTTTCCAGTCCAACGGTGCCAGGCCTCAGCGCTTGCGCTTGTGACGCTCTTCACTCTTTGCAGCCGGCAGGAGGCAGCTCTGGGGTTCGGGGCAGTATGCCGCTGATAAGCTCGCTTCGTGCTGATGGATTACCCTGCACAGCAGCAGGTTGGAACCTAGGGGTTCTCTGCACCTTCCACGACCGGCCTGCGGCGTTGGAGGTGCTGCAGGGAAAGCATCGGCTAGCGAGATGCCTCACCACCAGGTTGCATACTGTTGGACTAGCTCATGCTCAGGAAATGACCTGCGCTTTTGCCCAATGACCGAATGGGCGGCACCTCACCGAATGTTTGCAAGCACAAGTGGCACATTTTAGCAAACCTCGGGCGAGCTGGGCTTCGAAGAACTTGGACTGGATGTCCGACATGCTCTCTGACAGATCCGTGACATGCAGGATGCAAGAGAGTGGAAATAGTAGAATAGTAGAACCTTCAAAAAAAATCACGAGCGGTCTACTTGAGTCTACTTCACATGGAAATCGAAAGGCAAATGCCGAGCGCTTGCACCGGCGGCGGCGGAGGCGGAGGCTGAACTCGTGCTGAGTCTCCGCCTTATTGAAATCCGCAATGCCGCAAGGTCACAAGGCTCTGCCCGGATTCTACCCAGTCGTCTCGGCTCCAGGCCTGACCTCACAGTACTGAGTTGGGCTGTTTGCCTGAAACACAATGCCTTTGAAGATGCAAGAAGTCGAGCGACAAGTGCTACAACGCCGCACCTCACTGGCGGTAGCTTTGGAAGTGGTGGGTGTGTCCTGGAGATCTTTGCTGCAGCTTTGCTGGGTTATCTTCCCTTTTCTGCAAGTTTCATGATCGTGCGAACCCACCACTCGTCCATCCATGCACGCGCACCCAGCTCAGACATCCCCCCCGTTCACTCCGATTCATATGTGCAGGCATCATCTTTCATCCAGTAGGAGACGTGTGGTGTGAAACCAGATATCCACCAGTCCAAGGGCAAGAGCAAAAGAGGCAGCGGCATGCAGGGCAAGAAGCCTCGGCTGTGAACTGGGCAATGCTGGCACCGGCGGCACTGCCATCTGCACGCCCTTCGGAGTTACCTTGGGTACCCAAGAGCTCGTATGCTGAAGCGGCAGTCACTACTGAGTACCACGACCTATCCTGCGCAACACCTTGCCAAGGGTTGGCTCCAAGTTGGGGCCGCACAAAAAACATTTTGTTCATCGGTGGAGGCGTCTTGGGAGGCCTGCATGGCAAGATGCACGTCAACTAAATTCAACGTATAGCAACTCAGACGGTCCAAAGCATGGCAACAAGCACATGCAAGAGAAGATTGACTTTGCCTTGGCCCTGCAGCGCCCTTCGGCGGTGGTGCAGGCATTGGCATCCCGTCAGCGATGGCCTGTCATTTACTTGGTGAAACGACATTGTCATACGAACCCTTGGGAGGCGGTGCCTTAAAACCCCAAACAAGCCCTGTTTAAGGAAGTATAATCCCCTACCCCCTCTCCCCTAGCCCCCGCTAAGGGTCCCTATGACATTGGCAACCAGGCCGTCGGGAAAAGCACAGCAACAGGACCACTGCATGGTCGACACATTTTCAAGACATGATGCCTGCAGTCAAAAGCAGGCAGCACCACCTTACGTGATGTGATATCTTGGCTTCGGCCGTGTCGACCGGTCGGTGGTGACTTGCAAAAGTTGCTGGACGCCCCCTGTTGTGTTGGAGCTTGTGCATGCCACCGCCTCTGCATCGTCGCATGCGGTACTCGTTAGTCATATCTTCCCCCGAACTTGCCCCGCTCGAGTCAGAACGATGTGCAGCTCGCAGGCGCAAAACCATCCCACACAGCTCATGCCTTCAGATTGCCCTGTGGCAGGGGTGGTAGCTCCGGAAGGGTTAAGCCAAAAGGCCCAATCCTGGGCATGGCACTGCACATCCGCTGCTATCTCGCTTCATCTTATCCTGCACCCGCAAATTTAAGTTCCGAACGTGCCGGGTAACTGCCGAGAAAGCTCCGAAAAGCCTGCCGATGTGCAAGTCTGTGCAGGGCGACGATGTAGTCTTTTGTGCAGTCGGCTGGCCTGAGCCTGTCAAGGCAGGCTCGGGCACTGCATTCTTGCTCCTCGCAATCAGATGGCCAACTGGCGGGGGCTCCTGACGGAAGGCAACAGTTGCACTGAAACATCAGCTCCTGATCTAAAATCATTTTTCCGTCTTTCGACTTCTTCTACAAAGACCTACAGTGACTTACATTAACGTGCCGTCTCCTGCGGAGGACGGGGGAGCTGCCCGGGAGGTAGAGCTGGTGGTTGAGGCCTCTTCAAGGACTGCCTCGGAATGCGGCAATGCGTTTCGAGCACTGTCAGATGGTGCAACTCACCTCGTGCACAAAACAACCACTTCTGGCTGCGCCCCACGTAAAAGAATCGTGCGAATCGTGCGACCGTGAAAGCTTTGAACAGCGTTGCGGGCCACCAGGCACTCGCGACGTAACGGCGAGCCAAGGATGCCAGGTTTCCCAAAGTCGCGACTTCAGCTCCGGAGGCCAGGCGGCCAGGCCAGGGGTTTCAAGCGGGCGCGCCGCGCACGGAGAGGAACTTGCTTGAACTGTTGCTTTACTTGGTGCCCTTCTGCACGGCACCGAAGCTGCCGTAGGCTGTCGCACATTGACCAGCACAGCTGCTTAGCAATGTACAAACTTCATTGGCGACACTGCCTCGAGCAAAATCTGATTCTGCTCGTCGAGGGCTTCAGCGCAAGCTTGCAAGAACAACTTTCTACACAGAACTCGAGGCTCCTGCCCGGTAGCTTTGCTGAGTTGCAACAGTGGCATGACCTCCACAACAACAGGAAACCACTCACAGAAAAGCATCTGCTCAAAGGCTTAAACTTGTAGTCTGGGGCTCTGGCTGGAAGTTGCAAGCTTTGCTCTACCCGTGGAAGTGCTTTCGGCTGCGGCGGGCGAACTTTTCCGACTGCAGGCCTGTCGAACACATCTTGGCGCGAGTGACTCTCGGACATGCTGTCGCAACCCGCACAGAACCCTACACTGACGGTAGGATTGCTAAAATCCTGCAAGGTTCCCGCCTTTTGGGAAATTTGCACACTTTTGGCTGCGCCTAACAGGGCATCGTCCGAGAAACACGGTATGCGAACCCAAGGACATCAAGCGGAGCGCCTGCTCCTTGAGAGGTATTGGCTTGGCTGGTGCTGATCGTGGAGGTGGTCGGGAAAGCACCCTGCAGAACTTCTGACTAGTCCAAGGCTGCTTGGAGCGGAATGGTTCGGGCCATTGGCAGCCAGAGACCTAGAGGCGAACCTCGACTGTGGGAGCCATTCGAAGCAGAATTCCAGGAACTGGACCTCGGCATTGGATCTGCTTCGTTCATCTTCGTTCTCCCAAGCAACTCCAAGCCATGCTGTCCGGCTGAGCAAAAAATGCTGGCAGGTGCATTTGCTTCTTTTCTCTGGAGCGGCGTGCGGCCACGAAAACTGCTTGACAGCAGCTGCGAGGGAGTGCCTCGATGCAGGCGATCGCCAGAGAGAAGAGCTCCTAAGAAGTGCTTCCGCCTTCGGTGGACGAAGGCTACATCGAACCAGCATATCTGGCCAACACCAGTGTAACCTGAACCACGAAGAGGCTGGGCTTGCGAATCTGGCAGCAAAACTGTCTTAAACCTGCAGCCTCGGAACAAATACGATGAGGCGCCAAACAGATGTCGTAAACCTCATGTGGCTCAATTCCTCATAATGCCACAGATCCACAGATTCATTTACAACAGCGGCGAACACACGGCCAAACCACTGCAGCTGCCTACAGCTCAGCTCGCAGCAGCGTGCCAATATGCCTGCTCCCAGGAGCAAGAGTCTGCCAAAAGCGATTGCAAAGTGCAAAAGCGACAGCATGGAACTGTGCAAAGTCTAGCGACTCCAGTGATAGGCACGGCAGTCTTTGAGCCGACGAAGAAGCCTTCCTGAAGTCACAGAAACACGATCCATGCAGCTATGAGGACCAAACGCCAAACTTGTGTACCAGTCAAACCTGTCCGACCGCTCGGCCGTCGGTACTGGCAAGCTTCGTTGAAAACAAACTGAGGGAGGGCGCTGGGCGATAGAACACAGATGCCACAAGACGAAAACCCCGGCAAGTCAAATACCTCAAATGTTCCAAAGCCGATATGCCAACTTCTGTGCAGGTTCAGAAGTTCGAAAATCACCCAACTGAGCCTGTCTCAGGTTCCGAAAGCCAGTCTTGTCTCAACAACCGAATCAAGGATCAATGCCGAATGCGAACCCCTCTTGGCCTAGCCAACACAGAAACACCCGAATCCTGGCACCCCTCGATCGCGAACTGTGTAGTATCGCATGTTGCGGGTTTTTTTGCAACCTGGGATGCGAAAGCGAGCGGCACACTCCAAAACACCCAAACCTGCATCTGTCTGCAACCACCGTGGTGAGGAGCTCCAGACACTAAACGCCCTATCAAGCGACAGAAAAATATTCATCCTATGTCTTAGTAGGAGATTGAGCAGCTCTTCAGGTTCCTTGGTTCCTTGCAAGAGCTACCTTGTCTCGAAAAAAGAATGCTCGAGAGTTCTAAAACTATGCGCAGCCCGCAATCCTGTCATCTCCGATCAAGGGGTAGACTGCGGCATGTCTCATCAGGAGATAGACAGGCTCTCTTCTTTAAGTACGACTGGAAGTTTTGTTCTGGCTGTCTTGAACAAGACATGCGTGGCTCAGCTATGTCTTCATTTAACAAGCTAGTGCAAGTCTTTTATGACGCAAAAATGAATAAAACAACTCTCTAATTCTCGTTCAAAGAAGGGGTAGTTTGTCAAATGGAAACCTCTAACAAGCCTGTAGCATTTGAACGTAGCTCGCGAGATCTTCTCATGTCACTTTAAGAAGCACAGAACCTTCTGTGGGGCTCAGAGAAATAAGGAAGCTTTTAATGTGGTTACGAAATCTGCAACACTCTTCGGTGAGCTCTTTGCCTTTCGAGAGATACGAAACTCTCCTTTGGCTGCCAGTGGAGCGATAGAGAACACGTCAAGCCGGAATCAGGCTTTGATTTTCCCTACTTTTTCTGGAGATCTACGTTAGGGGTGAAGCGGAGTTGTGGCGCCGCAGCTCCGCTGTGGCGAGTTTGGACTGGCAGGCTGCAGCATCCCTCGGGGACGCATCATTCATGGCAATTCCTTGTCATGTGCTACTGCCACGGTCCCGGTCGCATTTGGGGAGCTGTCTGCTCGTCTTATCGGTGTCAAATCACTCGAAGCACCAAAAGTCCTAGTATGGCCATGCAATTTCCTTGGTGTGATCTCGAAACCCTGTCTTGGAGGCTCAGGGATGCTCCAGGAGTGGTTCTTGGGTATGAAGAGGTTCGACCGGTAGGTGCTCTTCACCTGTTTGGTGTGCAGGCAGAACGAGATGATATATGCCAGCTCCGCGAGCAAATGCAAGTATAACGCAAGGTAGGTGACGAAAGCCATATATATATATATCCATCACGCGAACCTTTCGGAGACAGAGTCGGAGAGAAAAGGGATGTGCAGTGGAGAGCTTGTGATTGCCGATATGCAGGAAGTCTCACTCACTCGAGCTTTCTGGCTCCACGGAGCCACCAACTGCTGCGTGCCGGCTGTGCAATGAAACAAGAGGCAGCCGAGTGGCATATCCCATGGATTCCATGAAGCGCACGACGAGATTCCTGCTTTGACGTGCCGTGTTGACCAGTTGTTCTCTGCTACCGACTCTTTAGCAGCAGCACCCAAGCCCTTGCCCATGCCGTCCGGACAAACCCACAGCAGCTAATTCATTTCCCAATCCCCGGGTCGCTATACCCGGAGGGAAAACGAAAAGCAAGCCGTGCGTCTCAAAACAAAACACTCAGGACCAAGCATTCTACCAAGCCGTGGGCCCTTGTGCCAGACTGCAAACGGTTCATCTTCGCATGCACAGAGAGTGACTTCCAAAACAGCAACGGTAACGACACGGTGGTGCGCGATTGGTAGCAAATGCGCTCAACGAGCCAGCTGGTTTGCTGGGTGTAGTCGTTGCGCTGCCGAGGCGCAGTGTTGGCTCAGCAGCACCGGCCTGCGGTGCCTTGGTTCCCTACTGTCTGCGTCAAAGATGCATTGATGCAACATCTCTTTTCGAAGCCAAGCCCGCAAATGTTCTGGACTGCCGTCATATGTGATTCCCGGTGGCGGCATGATGCTTTGACATGTACTCCCGCGCAGCCTGGAAACGGTGAGTTGCTGGTTGAAGGCTACATATATACAACAGGCACAAGTCATTCAGAGCACGTTTCAATGCCACACATGTCACGTGTCGGCAATGTCCTGGGATGTGTCGCCCGACCACTTGTCACCGTACTCGACTATCACAAGACCAATCCTGCCAGCTGACTACTTGTGAAAAGAAGCCTACCGAGCAGCCTCTAAAGTTATGTCGAAGCACTGCTGGCCTTGCGGTTGAAAGTGCCAACTTGGCACCTTGCAGAACCTGCCACTCGTGACCCTCCACATCAACCTCGTGCAGTCATTGTCTGCAGCATCTCTGAAAGAAGACTTTGGGACCGGAACCGTGCCTTCAGAATATCAAGGGTGGCATCTCCCAGCAGCTTGTCCACCTTAAGATGTAGGTTTCCTGTACCGACTGCGCTTCGCAGCTCTCTCTCGAGCCAGCTCGCTCTGTCGCTCGCTCTCTTTCTTTAATTTAGTCGCTCGCTCTGTCAGTGTTTCTTTCCCTGCACCGCCCGCAACCCTAGCTGTGCACACCCCAGAAAATGCCTTCAGTAGATGAGCTGAGGACATCGGCACAGCGGGTTCACGACTTCAAAATCAGTGAGTCAAAACCGTCCTTGATTATCCGCTTTGCTGTAACACAGCTGTGATCATCGCGACTCCCCAACCATGCAATCCCGCTCCCTCGCAGCAGTACACCCGCCATCTACTCTTTGCGCAACCGCTCTCTCCTGTCTGACCCTGCCCGTGCACTGACGTCGACCTTCCGCTCCCTGGTCACCCATGGCCACTCTCAGTACAGCGGCATTGCATGACGAGCGGTTTGCGTGAGCCTGGGAATGGGACACGTCCGAAAGCCCACCGGGCCGAAGGCCAATGCAACGTGACAAGCACCTGAGCAGAAGTCCTGCACCCTGCCCTCGTGCCTGTGCACTTTGTCGCTCTCTCCACTGCTTGCATCATCCCGCACTTGCGCGTTTCAGATTGTTGTAGCCCTTTCCTGATGTCGTCGGGTCCGCTTCGCGTGGCTGCTCTCGTCTCAGGTTTGTCTGGACTCAAAACTTGCGAGAATGCCTCGGTCGCGGGGGGTATCGCGGCATGTCGCGGCACTTCCATCCATCTCGATGCCATCCGGGTCGTTTCCCGAATGTCCAGGTCAACAAATCATAGTTCCAGGGCTGATCGTCGGGAGGAAGCTGTACAGTAGCGCGTAGGCTCGCTATGACGCACCTGTTGGACGTCGCCCTCACTTTGCACCGCACCTCGCTCACCCATATCATCCGTTGCCGCTAAAAGAGGCAAGCCGGCCGGTGTGCAATTGCACATTACATCACATTATTGCACGCTGCTCCTTTTCAGACGGGTTTTCCAGGCACTCCTCTGTAGGTTTCCGCTATCTCTCTCTCTCTACCATTATGAGCGGGTTCGGCTTGAGCCAGAATGGCTATTCTTCTTCTACACTCTCTCCCCTCTCATTTTCGTTTGCATGCATCCAAGCTGCTGTCGTGACATGTACATGCTCCCAAGTGCCTGGATCCTGGCCCCGTGGGTAGATAGAAAAGCACCGAAATTCAGCACCTTCTGATGAATGTCCGAGTCCTGGCACTCGTCTGTGCTCACCCACTGCCCGCCTTAAACAGTCCGAGGCACGCAATGCAAACAAACCGAGCGCTGCGCGTCTTATCCTGTCTTGAGCTCTGATGATCGGTCCAACGCCCAAAACCGTGCCGGGCACATCGCTCTCAGGCTGCGTGCTGAACTCTACTTCTGTCTTTGGCGGCCGTCGGCTTTTTCATTCACACATCGCTCCGATGTAGGTCCAATGCTCAGTCCTTTCCGCTGCCAGGAGCAGCTCCTGAGCGTGGGCGGCTCTGCCGGCTAGCAGCATCCAGAATTTTCCTTGCGAGGTGGGCCCGTTTGAAACGGGTTCGAGGTCTCAAATGAGTCCGCGCTACCATATCGGTCCTGACGCACGTCGGGGCATTTTTCACAAGTCGAATCCGCAAGCACAGCTCTCGGCTCTGCAGTCGGCAGGGCATGGCAGGTCCTGGTACTGGCGCTGTGCGAATCTTTCTGCTTGCCCACCGGCTGCACTTATGTTTTTGAAGAGGGGGTTCGACTCAGGGTCGTAGTCATCAAACGTCCTGTTGGTGCGGACTCTGAGAGCACAGTGAGCGAGATTGGAGAAACAGTCCTGCCGAGTGGGTCGATACTGGAGACCGGCTCCATGCCGTGAGAAAACTGGTACTCCCGGTACAAGTGCCATGCAAACAGGGCTCCAAGAACTTCCGTGCAAGGCGTCCCGATACCTTGTGTGATCTTAAGGCTTAAGGCATGGGCCAGGCATGGGAGGTCTTCTTACACCACCAGATGCAACTGATAGCTGGTCTTCTCTTCCTCCTACAAAGGCAAGTGGCGCACGATGGCTGACAGCAGCTCCAACTTGATCAAGCCCGTAGCTACCGGGATGATGAAGCCCAGCGTATCCAACAGGGTGTTCAGGGCACAAGCTAGGCCCCAAAGCGAAATGTACGTTATGTTCATCTCCTAGGGTGCGCACGCAGATGATCACAGATCAGTGAATGGCAGCTGACGAACTGGACCTTTGATTGAGCCAAGGGTCGTGGTACCAGGCATACCAGCCAAGCGCGCAAATCAATGCCATCCAGAAGCAGCCCAGGAGATCAAACAAGACAACTCCTCGAAGGACGCAGGCAGCAGCCTGGACAGCTTCAGCGACGGGGCCATGAGAAACACAAGATGTTCGACCAAACGGCCTGCAGGATGAGGATCAAGTGCATCCAGTGGCTATGGTTCATGGCCTCGCCGGATGCATGTCACGAGGCGAGGTGCCGACGAACGAGGGCCGCGGAATGCAGAGCAAGGGGCATACTTCGTTGGTGGGCCGATTTGCTGCGGAATGAAGGAGGGGAACGCTCCTCAGTTGTGTCAGCAACCGTTACAGCCTCGCATGACTAAAACTCGAATGCTGTCGATACACTCTGAGCATCTCTGGGCTTCCAGCGTGCTTCGCTCTTTGCAAGGCCCTTCGCAACGCCAGCAGCAATGACTCCCTCCATGCTCTGCTGGGACGTCTTGTTTCCCATCGAGCCGGGCTTCAGTGGGCGGGAAAACAGGTTCCCGGGGGTGGGATCTGGCCTTGAGCCACTTGTTGCAGCCGTGCACTGTGAGTCTGTGAGTAACCCTGCTGGCGCCTCCCTGCACACCCAAATCGTAGAAGAACTCTATCCCGACTGCAGGATGGGCCGAAGAAGCTGAAACAAGTCTGTATGACGCCAAGTTGCAGCCACGCCGGCCGAGAGACCCCGTAACCTGGCCACCGCGATTGAAGCCACTTTGGCCCGTTGTGTTCGACACGGCCAGCTGATGCAGCCTTACCGGCGGGTTGAGTTGATATGCAGCGGCTTGCAGTCGGTCGAAGCCAATCTGGGATGGTTCGAAAGCTTCCGTCTGAAGACCGGAGCTCCTGCAGATCTCCCACACATCGCGGTCGCGGCGATTTGACTCGTCCGGCCAGGGTGCCGCACCAACATCCCAACACCTCATGTTGAAAAGAGTATGACCGGGAAACCACACCAAAATTCGCTGGAAGAATGAATCCATTGATCCAGAGAATCCACCAAACTCGTCTTGAAGGTTGCGCAGGAAATATAAAATCACTGTCTCTGCCTCTGCGTTCACTGGCCCGAGCTGGAGGGCAGTACGGAAAATATGTTCCTCAGTGTAAGAGGAGAGTCTGAACCAGAATGCGCTCGAACCATCTTGAAGGAACGTCTCCATCAAATTGCCTGCAGACTTGAGAATCGTCTGCGCTTTCTCCACATCAGAACCTGCCAGAACTGGTTCCCAGGGCATCTGCTGCCAAATGTTCTCAGCTGCGGTCTTCGTAAAGTTTGAGAACTGCTGCTTGGCAAGACGGGCCAGAAGTCCAAAGATCGGCCATCCAGATTGCACAATTCTTTGCCAGGGGGTATCTAGAATCTCGTGCAGCAGCACTTTCATCCAAATGGCAACGACATCTTCATCATCATGGCGGGAGAAGAAATCCGGTATTATGTCCAAAAGAAACAAACGACATGCCAATACTCCCAGTGGACACTGGTGGGCTGTGCTTGGCGATTCTAAAGCCATTGCCGATTGCATCAACAAGTTTGGATGCATTGATACAATCTTGGCATCACGAACACGATCCCACATTCCCTTCTTCATGATTTGCCAAGTGGACAGGCGGCCCTCATCTGCAACATTGCAACTCCAACTTGCATCTTGATCTCCGCGGCATTGTGCCAACAAGAAGCCTGCGTACACGCCACGAAAGAATCCAGGCTTCATCGCCGACAAAGCTTACGTTGGACATGGCCAACAAAGACATGGACGTCACATCACAGTGAACGAAAGCCGTTAGCGTGCTGCTAGCTATGGCTGGCATGTGATTGAAGTCAGTCTCTCGTGCCCCTGTTACGGCGGCAGATGAAGAAATGATGTGGAATCGTCGGCACTCATTTAAGTCCTGTCTTGCATGATGCGGTGCCGTGGGTTGGAGCCAAAAGCAACAACTACAAGCGGCCTTCAAGCATGGAGGCGACTGCAGAAGCTGCGAGAGCCACACCAATGGAAAAACCAGCACAGCGGCAACCAGTCCACTGGCTCCCCAAGCTGAGTCTGCCTACGACAGACGCACAGGTCTCTGACGGGGATTTGCCCAGACTTCGCAGTCCTTGAAGGCGAGAGAGTGCTGGAGAACTGCCAGCGCCTGACTGCCGGCTAGACATGATAGCATGCAGTGCGACTGAAAGTTGGAAAGGCACTGTGCTTTCGCTCGAAGAACAGTCAATATGCAAGCCCTACAGATAAACGCCTCCAGCCCAGGTCGAACAACCATGCAGTCTTCAGCGACGGGCTCAATGAGTCATTGACTATCGAAACACTGTCACATCCGACGTCTACTGTTTCATGGCCTCTGTCGCGAAAATCGCCACGACGAAGATCCCTGCCTCACAACGGACAAGAAGCGGCTGGATCACTCCGCCTGTCATCTAAGGACCAGGCCCTGCGAACCCGTGTGAGTTTCAGGTGAAAGTAGTTCCAGCCGATGACCAAGTGATTTCGCCTGCTGAAGCTCGTCTCAGGACAGAATCTGTTTCTGCGGCATTGTCTGGCATTCCAGGCTCTAGATGCAAGTACATGATGAAAAAACGTCTTCCGGTGTGAAAACACATCTGGGGCACCTCATCGCTTGGAAGATGGTTCCGAAAACCTTCTCCTTCGGATCCTCCCGATCCTGCTCGTCACATCTCACACTCGGTTGATAAGCCGTTGGAGAATGAAAGTTCAACCAGAGGACATGTCAATCGCACTGCACAGTACTGCAGGTTGACTGGGGCTCAGGCAATTACTTGAGTTCTCAAGCTGTCAAGCGGAGTCACCTCCATCAATCTAGTTGAAAGATGCACCCCCAAAGCAGATGTTAAGTAAAAGCGACAGCAGCAGCAGCAGCAGCAGCAGCAGCAACATCAAAACATAAACAAGAACCAGATGCGGGAATAGGAACCGGAACAATGACAGTTTCACTAACGAAGAGCAGCATCAACTACAAGCTCGTCGCTAACGAACTTGTTAGCCAAAACTAGCTAGACGAAAGGTGCAGTAGCGCCCTTTTGGTCGAAGCGCAATCGTGCGCCCGGCCAGGCGCACCGCCACCAAACGGTGCCGGGGCCGGGGTGCGCACTTCTGCGCCC